GAAATCGCAAGTAGCCTCCAATTACCTGCCCGATTCGTACACTAGCGATCTGATTGCTGGATACGAAGCTCAGCGAACCATCCTGGCCAGGCAGCTTGGAGATGGTTCTGTCTCTGCTCTCGAGTTCCCATTTAGTGGTTCAGGAATGGTGCCCAATTCGATTCAGAAGCCTCTTAGCCGTGGAACCGTGTATCTCAACCCTACAAACCCCCATGGGGAACCTATCGTCACGTAAGTTTAACCATCTAGTAAACTAAGAAGCAAGTCACGGAAGACATCACCTGGAATTTTAATATTGACTATAATTTCAAACCAGATACCACGCCTTCACAAACCCCTTCGATCGTGCCCAGATTGCCACCTTCATTAAATTCACTCGCCGCTACTTCAAGACAAATGCTCTTGCCGATATGCAGCCCCAGGAGGTCTCACCAGGCGAAGACGCCCAAACTGAAGATCAAATCATCGCGAAGCTCATTGCGGGAGGCCCTCTCTCACTCTCCCCGTCTTTCGCGCATCCCAGCAGCAGTTGCCCGATGATGCCCAAGGAGAAGGGCGGCTGTGTCGGTGCTGACCTGCAGGTGTATGGAACGAAGAGGCTGAGTATCATCGATGCTTCGATCATTCCAATCATTCCCAGTGCGCATCTGCAGGCGACTATGTATGCTATTGCTGAAAAGGCCTCAGATATCATCAAGTGGAGAGGCTTGTGGCAATGGGGGTGATTGTGGCCGTCTTTTTGCCCATCATAATGTGGAGGCTGTTTAGGTGTAGATTCGGGCGTGTATATATTCCATAATTCTAGACGTTATTCTCTCCAATCACAGGAATACTAGATAATCAGCATCGCTCTGCTTTTCACCGCTTACTTCCTCTTCCTCGCTCTTTTCGTGACGATGCCTCAGAAAACCTCCAATTCACATTCGATTCCCCTGCTCATCTCATGTGTGGGGGGCTGGCGAAGGCGGAGGTGAGCCTCTTGCGATCCACTAGTGATTCAGTATCAAAAGAAATAAGTGAAGGAAATTGGCATTCCCTTCTTGTAAATCCTAGGAGTCGACCCCGCATCCTCCTTTCTCCTCTCCATCCCTCGCCTAGGTTAGATAGCCAGAGTGCGACTGAAATCTGTACGTAACGCGTCGAAAAGCTCGCGACTGCAGTAGCTCCTAATAAAATTCCGAGTAAACCAATCAGTAGTAATCGTCCTTTTTGCAAGCTCTGCCCCTGAAAAAAGACGGAATCGGAAAACAAAATATGCTGTCTTATCAAGAATGCATTAGCTTGTTGACTCTGCCCATATGAAATATTTGACTTTTTTTTTAAGGGCTGGGGTTAAGCGTTTGAGATCGCGGGGAGTGTCCGATTCGGTGCTTATTGGCATGGATATGTGTATCCATGGATGCTTGGGATGGCCTTGTGTATATTGACAGCTGTTGTCTAAGCCCAAATGCCCCAACTGTGTCCAATGCATCAAGGCATCCTCGAAACCAAACCCACCACAACCCCCTCAACAAGAATAATAGCATAAAAGCAAAGAGCAAAACAATCCCATCCCATCCCATCCCATCTCGCTTTTACACTTAACCCTCATCTAGTCCTCGCCCCAAAGAAATGCAGACAAGCAACGCGCGTAATCAAACATCTCGCAGCTTCGGTGCAGTTAACGTTACACCGGCCGCGGCCATACTATTTCTCCGAAAGCTGACCCGGCCCGCCGCTACGGCTATTTTGCAAGGGTAGCGCCTGTACCTAACTACGGGAGTGGTGGTGAAGGTGCTGTCCTTTCACGCGCTTGGCGGCTAATCTGTGGATCCGATGAGGTCATGGGCGCGCTTGTCTGTTTTTGTTCCGGTTGGTTGTTCGGTGGGAGGGATGGATGTTACGGAGAGGAATGATTGAGTCTGATGGAACCTTTGCATTCTAGAATTGGGTTTTTATGTAGAAGGCAATGGAGATATTCATTTATAATTTATATACTCCGCTAGGGAGGGAGGTTGTTTTGAAGGTGAGAATCAAGAGCGATGGGGTGAAGATATATACATATATATTATGGACACTGTTGAGATATTACACCCGGAACAGAAAAGGAGGTTGCAACACGTTAATAACCCTCCGTTCCAAAGAGGCCATCAATCATATATATATATATATATATATCAATCCTTAGAAATAAATAAAAATCAGAAGCCGCCATATTCCAACCAGGTTGTGCTTTCACTTTTTGGATCCAGGAGAAAGCTCAAACACCCAACACTCCCACAGACACAGCATCAATATTTTCCCACACACCCCCGAACCTGCATATTAACAAGAAGTATCCACGAA